GGCGCTCCGGGTGCGCCAGGGCCTGCCTGGCAGTTGCGCAAGTTGCGCTCCGGCGGCTATAAGAGGGGCGGGCAGGCATGGAGCCCCGGAGGAATCGAGGAATCGCGGCTCCAGCAACTGCGAGGTAAGTCCCGGGCGCTCTCCTTTCTCCTTCTTCGCCTGTCTTTCTTGGCAAGCCACCCTACCCTACCCTGGACCCCGGGGAAACTGAGGCAGGCGAAGGGTCAGGGAAGATGGCTTGCTTCTGGATCGTGGTAGCTTTGCACCAGAGTTCTGACCCGAAGGAAGGCGGCTGGGAGCCGGGGAGGGTAGGATTTGGGGCTGGGCTGTGCCCATGCCCTCGGGGCAGGAATCTGCCTTCAGAGCCAGCCAGGGCCCCAGGAGACTCCCAGAGCCGCCAGCCCTGCCACTGAGATGCTTTGGAAATTGCCTTGAGCACTCCCCCAAAGATCAGGGTACCCCGCCTCCATCTGCAGGGTACGTGCGTTGAGTTTCTGAGAAGTATGAGTTCTGAGGGTATATGCTCTGAGTTTCTGAGGAGGAGCCTTCCTCTGCGGATGAGAAATCAGGCATCATTTTCCAGCAGGGGTCGTGACTTTTGAATGAGAGGGGCCCTATAAATCCCAGGCCTAGGTCAGGGGTGAGGGAGTAGAGGTGGGAAGAAAAACTGTCAGGAAGAACCCAACTCTCCCAGGGAAATGACGCCGGGTCGCACAGCATCTGACCTCAAAGCCGTGAAAATTGTCTTCTACGCTATGGATAAAACGGGGTTTCCCTGGGGCGACAGAACAGCGGGTTATGGGAAAGACCTGGTAATCCCATGTTTCTCACTGTTACCACTTGTCTAGCAAAAACGGACAAGTGCACTCTGTTGGCAGGTGGGCCCCAGGTGAGACGAACCAGGCCCATCTTCTCTCCTGGCTTGATTTAGATTTCATTGTGCTTGAGTTACTTTACACTCCAGTTTCTATAACTTAAAGATATGGCACTTTGGAAAAGTGAATCCTTAAATACTGTTCGAGCCGAGTGACACAGTGGCCTGGTTGTCATTTGAGAATAGCAGCTTTGGAGCCAACCAGAAGGTGATCTGCAGGGGAGGTGGGGCAGAGGGCAAAGGCTTGAAGGCACCACCCCAGGAGCACCAGCAGGATGACTCCCCTTCGTAGGCACTAACCTCTGTCCACCCTTTTATGTTTGTCTGGTAGAGTTCTGAGGTGGGCAGTGGGACTGGGACTAGTGGGAGAGAGGGAGTCCAGTCTCTTTCCCACCAGGATGGTGTGCAGAACCAGATTCACTCTCATTCTAACACCCTCATAAACAGGAGGGTCTTGCTGATCATTTCTCTCCTTCAAGCAGAGGGAGAAGGCAAGAGAAAAGCCGTGGATGTGATTTGGTTCTTTCCTTTTCCAGAAGTTGAGGACATTGGGTTGAGGGGAACGTTTCCATATTGGCCAAAGGAGTGTCCTTCTCATATTTTGTACATCTTATGCCCAAAATAACTCTTCTTGGTATTTGGGGGAAATATTTTCCTCCCTCTCTGTTCCAGGAAATGGCTCCAAGAGCCAAGGACAGAGCCAGGGAGCTTGCAGTGAATTCTTGCCCGTCAGCCTCAGGCGGATGCCGCTCGTGTCTGAGTGGCCCATGCAGGGTGCAAGGTGGCCGCTTGGGAGAGCTCTCTTCACGGAACCTGGTCATTGTCCGTGCTCTAGCCTAGCTGCCACCTAGGGGAACATGGTGGTCAGTGGGGATCAGGGGAGAGAAGGGCTCCAGGGAGGTGGAGTCTTTGTGGGTATGTGCATCCTCAAATAGCATGCATGTAAGTTAAAGGAAAACCAAGCCAAATTCTCCTGCAATCAGTCAGTCAGGAGATCCTGTCCCCAACAGCAGTAGGAGTCTAGTGGCGGCAGCTCCCGTGTGGCCTGCCAGCCAAGAGCTTTGAAATACTTTTCTGTCCACACAATTGTCTCAGATAAGTAGAAAGAGAGGTTGTTTCTGCTTAAAAACAGCACACCTGATGCCTGGGCCCCCAGAATCCTTCGCACTTACTCCATGTGTGAAAACAAATGTGCCTTCTTCTCAGCAAACTGCATTTTACAGTCTTTCCTGCCTCAGTTTGTCAGCTCTCTGGAACTGAATCTGTGCACACTTTGAGTTTGTACTCTGGGGTCCCCCAGGCTGGGGGTGCAAAGGAAGAGGGAGGAAGCCACAGGGAAGACAGGAGGGGCAGAGGAGAGGTCTCAGAAGGGCTGGAGGCCCAGAGCACAGCAGCAGGAGCCAGCCTGATGAATGGGACCAAGACAGGGAGCACCTGGGACAAGAGTCAAGATGGAGCAGAATTCAGGAAGCTGAAGGGAATCAGGGCCCACGTGGTACTAGGGGACACCTATCAGGTACAGGAAGCCAACCAACATCCCAGGAAAAGAAGACACATTTCCTGTCTTCATTAAGAAAGTTTCTTAGGAATTCCTGCTAGGCAAAAGTGAACCCTAGGATGTGACTTTAAAATGGGGGCAAGTGAACCATTGTAGAGTTAGGTAATGAATGCCTGGATAAACAATGAAGACCAGGGATGGGAAATATTTTATTTGTTCATTCATCATATATTTAATGAGCACCTGCTCAGTGCCAGGCCCTTGGGAGATGCTGGAACAATTGGCATATCCACCACTCCTGCTCCCAGCAGACATCACGAATTGATCACAGCACCTTCTTTCTCTGAGGCTGGATGGAGCTTCAGGTTCCCCTCCACTCAGTGCTCCAGGGAGCCTCTAAACACTGATCAGTTGATACAGAAATTGAAACCTATTTGTTATCCCTGGTAAGATCAGATCTGAGGGTAGTTTCCAACGAGCAGGAAGACTATAACCCCCAAAGTCCACATTCTTGCCACCAGTTAAGTATGTTAACATGATTGCTCAAACAAGGCTCTCGACTGTAAATAAAAGAAAACCACTCATGCTAGTTCAGTGTTTTTCAGCTATGTTGCAACCAACTTTTAAAAAGCAGAATGGAGACTCTCAAGGGTGCATCACGCATAATAAGGGTGAATTTCATTTCTTGACACTTCTGTCCCTTACATGTGTGTATCTGTATGTCTCCTGGATGAAAAAAAATGTATTCAGAAAGTTGAAAGCTACTTAAGTGAGTAGTATATTTGTTCTTTGTTTGCTTGTTTTTTTCTTCTTCTTTTTTTCTTTTGGAGGGGAATTAGGTTTGTTTGTTTGTTTGTTTGTTTTAATGGAGGTGCTGGGGATTGAAAACCCAGGGCATTGTACATGCTAGGCCTACCTTCTACCACTGAGCTATACCCTCCCCCTGTGAGTAGTATATTTGGAAGCATATCTCACACTGGAGGCTAAGGACAAGGATAGCCCAGAGCCAACAAGGTCAGGAGCCAGAAGGAAGGTCATTGCCTGACCATTGACCATAACCCACCTCTCAGTGACTGGATAGACCCTGGTCTCTCTTAGCTACTCCATGTACATGATGCCAACCGTGGCTACCTTTGCACTTCTAAGTCCTCAACAGAGACAAACTGAACTCTTTGAAGCCCTATTTTAAATTCCTGGGAGAGACACTAATTAACCCAATCAGAAGTTGGAGGAAAAGGGGACAAGGAAAAGGAGAAAAGAGTATTCTGGTTCTTTTGCCCACTACTGCTCATGCAAACATATAGCCTCCAGGGTGTGTGTGTGTGTGTGTGTGTGTGTTTGTGTGTGTGTGTGTGTGTCCTGAGCTAGGGCAGATCACCCACAAGGTCCCTACCACACATGGAATCAAGCCCAGGACATTCTAGCTCTCCAGCTTCACATACTACCCTTCTACCACATTGAATTCTCTTACACCCATCATGGTTTTCCCCAACTCCACATTGTCCCCTTGGCCTGGAATACCCTGCTTGCTGTCTTCCACCTGGGGAACTCTTGTCCTTCAGATCTCTGTGCTAAGCTGTCCTCACCCCTCCACCAGAGTCACCCCCTTTCCCTATGCCCCTCTGGTTCAATGTTTCTTTCCTTATAACTTTCACCAGGTTGTGTTAAAATGAGTTGTTTAAGCTTGTATCTGTTCCACTGGATTCTGAGTAACTTGAAGGACCAGGATCCAATCCAGCCTTCTCTGTCTCTGTTCATCTTGTGTCCTTTCCTCATCCCCAAATCCCTTCCAACTTGGAGTCAGGGAGGAAGGAAGGAAGGAAGGCTGAGAGGGAAGAATGGGAGGGAGCCCGCAGGAAGAATTTCTACAGGGAGAGCGAGGGCTTAGACTATCCAAAGCTCTTTCCTCAAAATTAACGGCAAATACCGCATTACCCGAATTTAATTCACACTAGCATATCAAAGATGACTGAGAGAGGAATATAAAAACCTGATGGCTGGGAAAGAGAAGAAAGAGAGGAGAGTGTCCCGGGCCCCTTGTGAACCTCTGGTACTTTCAACCAGGAGACGAAGAGGGGTGTGGAAGGCTCAGAGCCAGAGGCCTCCACCGCAAAGGTCTCTGTGACTCAGAGCGCTACAACCCACACACAGTTCTGCTGAACTTTAGAGCTCCTAATTTTACACACGACTCCCTCCTGAGTTACCCAAGCCTTCCTCTCTCTTTAAATGTTCTTCCTTGCATTGCACTCAGTTAGATAAATTCTTCAATCAGTTATTTAAGAGCACAGTTTTGTTCTTTACTTTTATTTTTAACAAATAGTATATGTAGGTAGTTGACGATGTCAGATGCTGCGGCTTACTCCCGGGGCTTCCTGGGAGAACCACCAGCCTTCAGCCCCATCCATCCTCACTCCTGATTCCCACTGTCCTGTAATTGCAGGTCTCCTTCATCTCTGTCCCTGGCCCACAGTGGGCGATCAATACATGTTAGTTGTCACCCATCAAATAGATACTGAGTAACTATTATGCGTCAGGTGCTGCGCTCAGTGAAGTTGTAGTTCCTGCCTCAGATTACCCCTCCCCTCCCCAGACCCTAAACCCTGCTCTTACCAGCCATTCCCCTCCACCCCAAAATCTCAGGCCACAACCAGATCCCACCCAGATACTGACACTGGGGTAAACCAAGAAAGACTTGATGTTTGATCAAGCCTGATGTCTGATGCTTGTGTCCAAGTGTGAAATGAATTAGCATTAATTTTGGCTGCATTTAGCAAAGACCCAAAATAACAGTGGCTTAACCAAGACACAGATTATGTCTCTCACTGCCTTAGCATAAGTTCAGAGATAGGCAGTCCACGCCAGTCTGGCATCTCGGCTCCAGGAAGTCCTAAGGGACCTGGCCTCCTCCAGCTCTCTACTCCGCTCTCAGCTCTCAGCTCTCTACTCTATTCATACAGTGAGGTTTTCATCCTCATGATCCAAGAGGCACTAGTACGCCGGCTACCACATCCACAATTCAGGCATCGGGATGGAGGAAGGGATGGAAAGGAAGGGGCAAAGGCACACAGCACGAGAACTGCCACGTGGCGTGTCTGCTTCTATTCAGTTGGTCAGAATTTTGTTGCACGGCCGTACCTAGTTGCGAGAAGCTGGGAAATACAGTCGTTATTCTGGGTGGCACTACAAGTTCTGTCTGCAGCCCCGCAGGGAGCCCCCCTAAACCTGGCCTCTCCTCTTAGACATACTCAGCAGCAGCTCTTCAATTCCACCTTCCAAGGAACTGCGATTTATTTCAGCATCCACTGAAGCATATTATCAGTGGTGATAAAGAGGGCTAGTAAAACTGCTTTTCCACTCAGGTATTACATACAGGGTGGCCATTATGTGAGAGCGACTATGACCAGAGTTAATCTGGTAGTAAATTCTCTTCAGAAGGAGGGTGTCATTAACACACGAATCCTGGGAAAGGTTACCATTCAATCTTGTGCCGCTGGAGGAGGACCCAGAAATACCAGACACGCTGCTGAGATGGCCCAGGGGAGGCAATGGGCCAAGTGCCAGATTCAGGGTTGGCTACAGGTAGTGTTACCCGAGCATTTCAAGACCTGCCAAATAATGACACAATTCCAAAGGATCTGACATTTACACCCCCTGCCCCCACCCCGCCTTACACACACACACACACACACAGCCACACACAGATGGGCAGGGGGTTCAGAGGTTCATCTCAGTTACCCTTTGGGCCATGCAGTGTTATTTG